TGAATTGTTGCAGGCAGCTGATTGGTGGAGTATGGGAATTGTCGTGTACGAGATGTTGTCCTACACCAGGCCCTTTGAAGAAAGGAGCAACATTCAGACATTGTTTACGTGAGTCTCCTTATTTGCGAAGAGCAATGTTTATTTTCAACAAACTCCTACACAGATTAGTTTGACCCTAACAGAGGACCAGTTGTTATCCGTTTTAATGCCAGTGAAGTTCGCGGAGAATCAACTTCATGGAAGAAACCAAAATTCAGACAGAAAACTACCCAATGACAAAGAGAAAATATTAAACAAAAGATTGTACAGGAATTAAATTAAATGTGAGGGACAGGGAAGGAAACAGAAAACAAAGTTAAACATCTCAAAATGTTATTATAGATGAACCTGCAAAACGTATTTCGGTGACTTAGATTAATTATCTCTTTTACAGGAAAACTGACAGGAACAAAGAAATAATAACAGGGAATGTAGATGTACTTTGTAAGGGCAGATTTACTATTTCGATTCTCTTTAACAGTAAAATTTTGACTCAAGACCCCGTCTTCCCGCCTTTTTTCTCACCATGTGCATCGTACCTCATAGCAAGGTTGGTGATGAGGGACCTGTGACTGCGCTTGGACGGTGGAGCGAGGGGAGCAGAGGAAATCAAGACCCATCCATTCTACGATGTAAGTTCTCTTCCCAAATCTGTTACCATAAAATATTGTACAGAAACTTTTCAGTCTGAACTGTCTTCTTCCTGGACGTAAGAAAGCAAAGTCCCGATTATTCAATCTACACGGGATCAAAGGGCGATCGGATAATTGAGATGTCAAACAAAAAAGACGAGGGTAACGCTGCTGACGCCATGTTCTTCTGCCACTTGTTCCATAGTTTCACATTTATCTAGTCTTTGTAAGACTTTAAGTTTTGTTCTGCGGGAAAAATAAACTACTTTCTCTTTTCGCTTGACATTTAATGAAAGAAATCGCTTCTTTATGAGAAATTGGTAACTTCAGTTAAGAAACTAAAGTAGATCTCCGCTCGTGTTATCGAAGGAAATAGAAAAATACAGATGTAGTGCACAAAATGCGATCAGGAAGTGCGACTCATTCCAGTACACCCAGAGTCAGCCGATTACAAAATGGAGCAAATCCAATAAAATTGAATATCTAATAACAGAAGGTCAGACAATCGGGACTCTAATGTATTTCTAAGGAAGCAAAGTGCAGTTTCAATGTTTCTAGAAGTTGCTACTGTTTCAAAACTTCAGTAAATAATTAAAAATTGCGGTCTACATTCCCAGCATGAGGCCATCCTTTGCATAGGGAAATTGCCCAGGGCCTCTTGCATCGACATTGCGATGTACGAAATATTTTGAGCTCAGTGACATATTGAGGGCCCAAGAGACTGACAACGCAAAGAAAATTGATTGTAATCCCAGAAC